TTTCGTCGTGGGTGACTTGGTTTTTTAATATTTTAAAGTTCAGTGAAATGGTGAAGGAAATCGTACAGCAAGTTTTAGAATGTCGTGTAATGTAAAATTTTCAGGATCACGAAAATCTAGCTGTGAATTTTTCAATGTTTCCAACCCTCTGATTTAGTGTTTAGTTTATGTTGTACTCTTATAATCAATAATAAAATAATTGGTTGACTTGTTAAAAGTTTACAGAGAAAAACAATATATTAAATAAATAAATACAAATACATGTATATATACATTTTTAATTTGTTACATCCTCCTTCATTCAAGATTAAACTCTTAAATTTTTAATAATTTTAAAATAAATTTAAGATGCTTGAATTTTTATATGATCTTCACGAATCAAATTTCTCAACAATTACACGATAAAAATATTTTTACGTAATATCTTTGAAGAAAGTTAACAAAGCGCTGAACAATTTAAAATGAGACAAACTGTTACATGATATTTTTCATTTAAAAAGTTATAATATTAATCATTTTTCATCGTTATTGGTTTAGTTACGTTATGTTTCGCTGTACGTTAATTTTATAAAATATTGTATCACGACGACAGCGCATTTTTTATTTAATTGTATTGTCGTTTAAGTTATTTAAAATTTTTCTGCCGATCTCTTCATCTTATTCCAACCATAAATATCCTAAAGTATTTATAAAAATGGAAACGTAGCCATCGTAGACGTGTATAAAAACACGAATCTTATTTGAAACGAGAAGTCTTCGAAAAGTAATCGATAGAACAGAAACTGATATAAATTTCGAACGTTTGAATTCGTCGAATTCACTGGCGCAGGATTGGAAGTTCCGGACGAATCGTTCGAATTTTCGTTGGAGAATTTTGCAATATTTTAATATACATACTCTTTGCATACCTCAGTCCCTCTGGCGAGGGCTTCCTCGATCAGCCATTGGGGGGCAGGATCCTCCTCGTCGATACAAAATACCGAGGATTGTTTTTGTTTCAAATAAACGCACGACGGGCCGATATGATTCGCGTCAGTTGCTGCTTCATCGTACAAATTTTTCTCGTCCGACTGAATGGACGTTTGCGTGCAAATTGTCTTTGTTTTCATATCGATTTTCTTATCTGAAAGGTAACATTTAATAGTATTTTTATGATGTATACTTGCGACGGAAAAATGGACCCTCACGTGGTGAGACTTGGACAATCATTAAACACTTGCTACACGATTACTAATTGCATCATTCTATGATTCAATTACAAATCACATAGCGAGCAATATGAGCTAATTGGCTGCGTTTGCGATTTATTAGTTTTTTTTTTTATAATTAATAGATTTGTTAGATTTCTCGCAAAATTTCTTGTCTTACAAATTTTATCAAAAATAAGACTTGTTTCATTCTTGCAGATATCAATACATCGTTGTATATTTAGTTTATTAAAACCAATTTAAAAAATTTTGTAACAAGACGTGAAATATAAAATTTGTAAAGTGTACAATCAACTAACTATCATTGAAAGAAATCTGACAAATTCTCATTTAAGTAAAAAAAACAAAAGAAAAAAAGAACAATTACTTTATTACAAATCTTTTTGAAAAAAACATGTCATTATCGTATTACGAATGTTCATGAACTTATATAATAAATTCTAGGTTGCAAAAGTGTACAGGATCCGTATAACACACAAAATAAACTGCCGGTTACGACACTGAATAGACAAAGCAAATATTTAATCATCACTAAGAAAAATATAATTTTCATCCGCAATCTAATCGACGTTTTCAACTTTCGTGACTCTAAATATACTTGTTTTAAGCGACATTATACTCCAAACATTCCAAATAAAAATTCATCCTAATTACATGCAAAACATGCGACGACAAAAGTCTTATTGAAAATACCAAAAGTTTATGTAACTGTAATTTCCAAACGACTTGTAACTTCTGGTAAGAATACACATCGTCGGAAGCGTTGAACCTTCCCCTTTAAAACGCTTTCGGTTTCATTTCGATACGACTTTTGGTTCCTGAGATATCGTCGCGTAAAGACAAGCGTAATTTTCGGCCGGTTCCTATCCCTGTCCTTGTCGCACTCGTGCCCCCTCTCTCTCGCGCCGCTCTTCACTGACCTACCGCACGCGGCTGTCGAGTGACAGTGGTCAGTGACAGACAGATTTCCAGGAAAAAATGTAGGTCACGGCGTCTGGCGGTCAATCCAAGATGGCGGACGGCCTGGCGCGAATTTCAACTCGTACACGTAAACTTTGAAGAGCTGTATCTTCCGAACCAACTGAGATATGGACGTGAAACAAAGCACGTTCTAAATGGCACACTTCCTACCATTTTCTCGAACGTATTCTATTGTTTTTCCACTGTACTTTTACATTTATAAATTAACTTTTACTTCCTTCTTTATAAATTTATAGTATACTTATATATACATAGTTAGTACACAGGATCAGTCTGATTAGACGTAGAAAATTTTGAGAAATACGACCTTCAAATAGAAAATTTCGAAACGAAGTGTCGATTATTAAAAAATCTGTACACACGATTCCTGAGGAAACAGAGTGAAAGTAAGATTTGGAAAAAATGAGATTTCATGAAATACAAATCATTTTTATTAGCGTTTGTTCATTTATGCATTATGGTAGCTTTAGAATTATGTGCAGATATCTATCGTGAGTCTACAAAGTACAGATGACAGACACATCATGTCTCATTTGTAACATTGACTAATCTTTACAATCTTGCAAATAAGTGATATTATCGAATGAGCATTTACCTCGTGCAAGTACTCCGTACGCTACTGCCCCTTGGTGGTGTTATTCGATACTATTTACAGCAATGACGTATCTACTATATC